ACACAAAAAAAATGTCAATATGTGCTTTACAAGATACTGTGTATGTGTGGAAGCTGGGAGGTTCACCTACTTTTCTTTCATTAACATGCATATTTATTATACTGGAAAAATATGCATATAAGTATCCACACTGAAAATATAAGGGTCATAACCAGGAAAAGAAGACTGCAATGTTTTAACAGTAAGAAAGCATAAAAAGAAAAAATCTTTATAACCAGGTACTGTTAGAAAGCCAGTCCCTCATGGGATGATTAGGAAGATCTATAATTCCAAAAGGCAGAAACCCAGACAAGAAGAGAAACGAATAATCCATTACTAGGCTTAATTTTCTGCTTATTAATACTGCTATAAATTAGATACTGAATGCTTTCTGCACTGAACTAAGGTGTTTTTTAAACTAACAGTAAAGGAAAGGAAGTAAATTTTTCAAGTAAAGAAAAAAGGTAGGAGACAATTAACCTGAAATTAAAAAAGGGTTTTGGTTTTGTGTTGTCAGAGCTTTAAGCCGGTGAAGCATGATTAAGAATTAAATGACAGTACTGTATCTGACTAAGCCGCCATCTAGTGGGAGACAGGTATTGGTGAAGACACTAGTCGATCAAGTCTGCTGCACAGCTTTGTCTAAGACGGCTCTTGTAAATACTGTATATAATGAAAGTATGTCTCTAGAAAACAGTAGTATTTAATTATCAAGGGCACGGACTTTTAAGAAGTCTGGGAAGAGCTCTAGACGTACCATGAAGAAAATATTGATGAATGGTACTGGAAAACACTAATGAATGGAGGAGGATATTTTAATAATAAAATAATTTCAACTACATTTTTTAGAATATATATTCTTAAATCCTTTTGAACATCATGATAAATCTAAGCACAACAACCACAGTGCAATAGAAAAGGCTAACCACTTCTATGCTAAAAATAAAATCAGATTTTTATTGATACAGTATAGCGCCAATTCTTGTATCTCAAAGTCCTACACAAGAATACATTCAAACAAAATTAAAAGACATGAGAATAAATCTTTAGCTACTTTGAAAATATTCACAGAATCAGGACAGAATTTATTTTCTGTACAGTAAGGGCTCAGTCAGCCATAGATTTCAACTCGCTTTGTGGCACAAACAGCTGATAAAGACTTTCAAATACAGTGGAGCACTCATGTAAAGCTTTGCAAGGTAAAGATCTTATTACTCTATATTTCAGAGGTAGCCAGTGAATGCAGCTGTGGAGTGACGAGAATTTGACCTTTTTTTAAGAACACAAGCAGCAAGCCAGATAACACAGTCTTAATTTAAAAAGGCAAAGACAAATTTTCATCCAATATGGACATTGGTTAATGGCCTATATGAAAATACCCAGTAAACAATATTAATATTAAAATTTTCAGATTTTAAGGAGGTTTCCAAAGCAAAAATCAATCTGTGCCAATGTGTTATTCATTGAGGGTCATTGAGGTGCCACTCCAAATGTTATCAGATTTACTTTTCCTCCAAAAGCACAATCAATGAGTCCATTTAACCATCACTGATCAATGTTAATGCAATTGCTACCAATTCTAATCCTGATTTTCAAACCTGATGTGATCATTTAACAGCTAAGCTCTAAGTACCTAATTCAACTGTGTGCTTGCTACATCCCCCAGCAGTGCCTCTCTGATCAGCCTCCTTGATGCACAAACCTCTCCTTCAACTGAACAGTGTGGTACGGTGCATTTAGGAGCTAACTGAAGGATAAAAGTATATGAGGAAGGTATACAAAGTGATTGTATAGTGGGGAAAAACTGCTAGTATAAATGTGTACTGTGACCATCTATTTAACTCTAATTTTTCTGTTTTTGTGCACAGGAAACTTTAGGGGCCGTGCATTAGCCTACTCAGCATATATTTTGGAAGATCTCTTGATGAAAACCTACACAACCACCACAACATGCAAACTCCACCCAGATGACAAAGTTAAATCAAATTTAATTGTTTACACTAGCAATTCATCTTGAATTGAAATGCATTAATCTGATAGGAAATACCACAAAAGAAATCACATAAATACTTTGTAGTTTGCGGGCAGCTCAGACCACTGGGAGCTTTTTTCATTTAACTACTGTAGTTCATATTCAAACAGCTCTACCTAACAGTTTTTGAAGAAAATGACCTCAGCGACTCCCTGCTCGTCAAAGTATTTCACAAAACGGAGCAAGTGCTGTACCTGAATGAAACTCGACTTCAAATAATTGCTCTGTGAAATATGGTAAAGTTGATTTTCAAAATCAATTTCTGATGTTTAGATTTTTTACACCTAAAAATGTTCCAAAGAAGCATGCAACATTTTTAGATGCAAAACAAATATCAATATAAATTATGAAGGTATAAAACTATATATACAAGGTCCAAAAAAAAAACTTACCTCATGTACTAAATCCAAATGTCACAGTTGTGTCACTGACAAATTTTAACAAGTCACTTCTTTACAGTACAAGATTTCAGTTTGACTGAAGCTGTAGTGGATGGGATTTGCCTCCAGGAGGCAGGGAAGATTCAACTACAACACTGATATGTTGGTTTCCCCTCCTTGTCTGCAGCACATGAGCTCAGAACATTGTTCTATGACCTCATACCCCAGAGGCATGCCGCTTTATTGAGAGAACAGTTATTTTCAGTTCCTTCAATTCAGCCAGCACTGCACATTTGCCACAGTCCATCATCCAGTGCACTTCTTATTAATGTTTTTCAACATTTCTTCAGAAATGTACCTATATTTGTCTACGTATGCAACATCTCAAGGTACTATTTAACGATGTTCTATTTTCTTGCAGAAAACAGCGTGTTCATCATTTCTAAGTAAGCAGTGGATAGAACAGTACAGGAACCTCCTACCATGAAAGTATAAAATTGTCGGTGTGCTCATGACTCAAAACTGAAATCTGATTTAAGGGAAATTCAACTTGCGGAACACTAACTGAAACAGAAAACGCACTGAGTGCAGGGCTGTCTGTAATAGGGACAATTCCTACATTAACCAATGGTTAAAATATAAGACCTAAAATTATAATTAACAGAAGTCCCAATGCATTCCTCAAATCAATATTGTTCTGTGAATGTGAAAAAAAAAATATTTGTGTTGCTTGTAAGTTGTTAACCAGAAATTCATTTCTTAAAGATGAAGAGAATGTGAAATTTTGTATTCAGGACAAATATCCTAAGGACAATTAAAGATGAAAGAGAGATAAAATCAGTTTTATCCAAAATCAAAGTTCATTAAAGCGTACGAAGGACAGTATTTACTGATAACTTTAAGTGCTTTGTTTTAACAGAATGAACCCTCAAAATTCAAGAGAAAACCAAGAAGATGTGTTATAAATAAATAAAATGACTTCAAGGACAAGAAACTAGCGCAGTTTTCCTCTACGCTGTCATAATATCCTGCTGTTAAAAATAATTTCCTCCAGCTTGCAAACAGGACCAGAAATGCTGCATCAAGCTGTTTGTTCAATTTAATGGCGTCCAGGTGCACCTTACTGACCTGGAAAATGCAACTAGAGATTTAAAAGCATATTCTTCCGGCATGTACTTCAGAAACATTTCAACAATACAAAGGTTTCTAACCCAACAGATTTAACTGATTTCTCTTCTGAAGCTTGGATACCGAGGAACTTACTTTGTTAATACATAATTCATTTTCCTTTTGTCCCATAAGATTAAATTAATCTCTGCTCATCTGTATCATCATATTCCATTATCTCCATGGATACTGTAATCCACAGTTTAAGTAATCCCATTGCCCTTTCTGGCTTTGCATTGTGGAACAGGCAGACGGACTGCATGAAAAGGCTGAAGATACTCTGAAAGAAATTGAATTATTTAAAATATAAAACTGGTGAGATTCCCAAAAACTGTATTTGCCATTTTCAAGTTTAATAAACTTCACCCTTTTCCTATTGCCCTTGCAATGGGCACTAATTCAACTGAAACATCATGCCTGAAGACTTTCCTACAACAACCTGCTGCTCAGGAACAAAAGTCAAATTTCAAACCTGTTTTTGACATCTGGCGACCCAGCAGGTAATGGACAGATACTAGGAAGCTTGAAGCAAATCTATGACCCATTTCATGCACATCCCTGATCAGCTGTAGATTAGAGAACTGCTACACTAAACAATTAATTAACCACAGAGGTTAAAGCCAAAGTTAAGAATATCAAACCACAGATGGACAAATTTCACCTTGCATATGAGCTTCATAGCAACACCTAATTTGCATCTTTACGCTTTTTTTTTGCAAAGCAAACTGAAAACTAATAAATCACATTCTGGGCTGCAGACACTAGTGCTGCAAGAGAACCAGCAAAGATTCATCCTCTGGTTTTGGCCCAGTTCAAGGATTAGGGTTAAACAAAAAGGTACTGAAGTTACGCGCCTGCTGCCCCTTACTGCCTTTTCCAGCTCCAACTGGCAGCAGCGATCAAATGTACCAGCTGAATCACCCCATGTGCCTTCTCCACACACATCAATCACGGTCATCTGCTGTGGCACTAACTCAAGCATTACAGCTGGCTGGCAAGCGTTTAAAGGTACTTTCATTGAAGGTGGACTCACCTTAAAATCAGACTTGTAGCACCTGTTACCAACCGACTGGGAAAGGCAAAAGCAGCAAGGTTTTTAGTCTAACTAAAAACTGCAGAAGTATAATAAAACTTAGTCTCTCTAACCTGCATCACATACAGTGCATACAGCAATTAACACCCTGACTAAGTTTCCTTTTTCAGATCTATTTACAGTTTCTGTCCTTCAGGCACCATCACTAAACAAAAATCAACAACAAAAGTTCACACAAAAACACTACGTCCCTGCTCAAGATGAGGGAACCTGATGTTTCTCCACCGTCAATCTATAGAAAAAATTGTGTGTTTCTGATCTGTGACCGTTTCAGGGACGTATACAGAAAACCACATCCAAGTTCCAGAACATTATTAGAAGGGTCTTTTCTGAAGAGTAGGGCACGTACCAATCCGCGAAGTGGCAGACTCCAGCTCCGCCAGGAAAGCCGGAATTTGCTGAAGCTGTTCCTGGAGCTCCAGGAGCGCGGCTCTCCTCTTCTCCCAGTGGGCAGACAGCATAACCACTTCTCCATCCACAGCCTGCGGTCAGAAGCACAGGGCACCTTCCTATTATGCACAGCCCAGCTATAGGCCTGCGATTCACTCATCGCGAACACTACACACTTATGGTACCTACAGTACGTAACCCCCAAAAAAAGTCTTATAGCAATTTCACATTGATGAAGCTTCTGAGAGTCATTCAAATGGTATTATCATCTGCTTGGCTGTTTAAGGCCTGTTTAGATGGAAGCACACAGACCACACAACAGGCATACAGTAGGTACCTGTTTAAATGAGTGGCACCCCTGGGTACAAACGCTCAGCAGTGTCAACAGGGAACGTATGTAAGCTTGCTTCAGGCACATTAAATAATAAGGGTGATCTCTGTGCCGGGTGGTGTGGTAGCCTAGTTAAAAAAGCCCGGTGTTAGTACTGCTGCCTGTCCTGTCCTGTGATGCACCCTCACCCTCGAGGGTAAGAAGTGTTGCTTCTATCCCACTCCTGTATTTTTCGTATTTTAACTCACAATAGGTCTGATGCCCCCTTTTAGAGCTCGCAATCGAAACCTCTTTATTCTGGACCTTTTTTAGAGGAAAGGATCTTGTTGAGAAGGAACTTTCTTGCCCTGCCAGTGAGTCACTTGTTTTGTCGAGGGTTTAGATAGATAGATAAGACTTTATTGATCCCAAAGGGAAATCAATGTGTTACAGCAGCCCAAGACAAGCAAAAAAAAAAAAACAGACATCAGGATAGACGAAAAATTAGAATACGTACAGTAATACAAAATAAATATAAAATAAAATAGATAAAAATAAATACATAGGTGTGTACAAAATATGATCACAGTCACTGTAAAAACAATACAATATGTGCAAAATGTGCATGGGTATATACAGATTGAGTGTCCAAAAAGTACAATGGAGCAACATGTTGTCCATAGACGAACAAATGAAGGGCTAACAGTCCTACCCTAGGGCAGCGTTATACACCCTGACAGCCGCCGGGAGGAAAGACCTGCGGAGACGTTCCCTTGAACACCGTAGCTGGAGCAGTCTGTTGCTAAAAGTGCTCCGCTGCCCAATAACAGTCCCAATTTGCACCAATTTGCAACCTCTTAAGATAAGAAAGCAAACAGGATTCTAAAAATGTCATGCGTGGGTGTGCAAAAGAGAGAGCGATAGAAGAAAACATTCTGGGGAATTCTATTTTTTTAACAAACGGAAACAAAGAAAAAACAATTTCCCAACACTGCAAAGTTCTTTGCCTCCTGTTGTGCCTGTATTAGCAGTGCATTCAGGCATCACCTTTCACAACCTATTGGGCTGCAATCTCACTGAACATGCAGGAGATTAATGACCGAAAGATAAAGATGGAAACTATCTTTAGTTTCTTAGGTGGGAAACATAAGGAATTCACAATTTGCCAGCAGAAACGTGGCTCGGATTAATTTATTTCACTGCACCACAGCAGCCCTGATGAACAGTTCCCAGCTGAGGCCAGGTGGGGACCAAACAGGACTAAGTGCTTTCCTCCTGGGCTAAATGGCTTGGCAGAATGTGCTAATTTGGCATATCTGACACTTAAAAGACAGAAGCAGATGTTGGCGTTAGGGAGGCTCAGATCAATCTTCATCCCTGTCGTCTTGCACAAGGATTTCAAGCAGCAGAGTAACATCTAGATTAGGAATTCCAAATTTAGAGGAATGAAAAAGACCAATTTTAATCTGAGAAATCGAACAAAGAGATTGAGACTTGTGAGCTGCATAGGGATTAAAGTTCTGTCTGGCCAAGAACTACAATGCCTTTGAATGAAAGAATTCAGTCTATTAATACATATGACTAACATGTTTGACTGTTTTCCACTAACAGATGAGGAGCACAGAACACCCTCCCATACAGCATCAAGGATAAAGGACGAACCTTTATCCGTGGGTAAAGGGCGACTGAAAAAAGGAGGCCGTAGCAGCCTACCTCCCCCATGTCGCTCAAAGCAGCTAGACATTCCAGGAGCCAGAGCTCAGCCACACAGCCAAAAAAAAACCTCATACCAAGTCACACAAATCACTAATATTCATGACTCTCAGCCAAACTATTTGTTTTGGTCTTCAGATGGTAGATTTTTTTATTTGCTTGCTCATTATTGCAATGACCTTGTGAATCCAAGCTACAGCTAAATTTACATCAGTTTATTTTTGAAAGGAATAAGATGTGAAATCAAGTTACTTCAGATTCGCTCTCCGCTAATATACCATCACACAAAAAAACGGATGTTTATTTCTATAATTTGGGGATGACATACTTTATTTTATAAGTAAAAGTTGTTGTCAAGATGCACTCTTATAGATTTGCGTACTGGGAGAACTCTAAGTTTGAAAAAAATGGGGAGAAATTCATTTTTCACTCACTTCAAACTATTACCTTTGTGTAAGACATTTTGAAAATTAAGGACCGCATAATGCCCCAGAGGCAATGAACCGGAAATCTTCCAAAATAATTAGATTCCTCAGCTGCATTATAAATCAGTCTTGACACTGACTTGAAAGGTGCTTTCCTGGAGACAAAATGTAGCACTACAAAGTAACTGATGCCATCTAGCTTGTTTGGCAGTTAGCAGTTAATTGATCCAAGAATCTCATCCAGCTGCTTCATGAACAAACCCAGGTTACAGGCTTCATCAACATTGCAAGGTACTTTATTCCAGAACTAGGGACTTCCAATTGCAGCTTTGAATACATTTTGGTCTCCATTTGTGTCCTGTGCTTAGCATTCTGCTGTCGGTTCTGATATCTATACAGTTAACGCCCTTGACGTCTTGTATATCCAAGACTAAAAAGTGGCAGTTCGGTAAGCACTGGAATCTATGTTGCGGCTCTTCTCTGGACTGATTCAGATATTAAACATACAGTAATGAATAACTTCAGTCTGATGAAAACGTACCATGGAATTATATACATATTTATATCTGACATTCACATTTAAGAGACACCACCTCCCATGAAATCAAAGCCTGTACACACACTCCGTGCTAGCAGGCTCTGGTGTTCTGTTCACAGACGGATGATGCCATTATATAGGTTTTTGATCACTGCTGTGTAAATAAATCCACTGCTGAGAAAGAGTGTTTTAGATATGGAGCTATACTGCACATTCTGCATTTAGGGGAGAAGCCTTACCTCTGCAGCTTTAGCACAATCCTTGGCTCGTTTGTGAAGAGTCACCCAGGTATCTTCATATCTAAAAAAAGAAGCACAAAGAGGACTCCTCTGTGACTGATGCGGTAAAGGCCTTTGCTCACAGGAGCAATCCCAGAAATCACCAGGTCTGAACCTGAGTTATGTGAATCTTATGTGGGAAACACTGGTTTACTGTAGGTGCTTGGGGTCTCAAAGTGTGAAAAGGAGCAGATGGCCTGACAGCTTACACAGCAGAGTGAAAGTACACACTGTCTTCAGATCTCTTTCTGTGGTATGAGGGGTGTGCCAGGGAGAGGAGAGGAGATGATTAACAACTCATTTAGGCTGATGCTTGGAGGAAAGTGACGCACAAAAAGAAAAATAATGTTCAGTTCTCAAGACAAAATAGACTCCATGGGATCCTTCCACAGATCCCAGTTAGCATCAGCCCTGGAAACGCTTACCTACAGTACATTTACATTACAGTATGTGGTCCAAAATTAGCGCTTATCTGTGTTTTTAAATCTAAAGCCATATATTTCAGGAATTATGAGGCTTACTCTCTTCTAAAGTTCATGAGCTACTCTGAAAAAGACAAATCAGTAGATATGCCTGATAATAACCTCCCCACAGTCATGCTGCAACCTGATCATTTTCTGCATTACAAAAATGCTGGACAGCAAGGTTTCCAGATATATGAGCCGTCTATTTGATCTGGAGAATTCTTTTGATAAGGCCGATTCTGCAACATGAGCATTAGCAAAGATAACGTATGGAGGTTTAAAGCAGTGTGAAATGATGTTTGGCGTTTTATTAACTCAGGAATGTTTGAAGGAAATGCTCATATGAGTGAAGGATGATATAAATTCAAGTAGGTCCTGTTTGTTCGTCATTATACCACTCTTCATCACAGTGATGCACTTCAAAAAGCATCTCACCACTCCAGAGGTTCATTAGGTGACTCTGCTTATCTGTATCCTCGCAGCTTTCAAGATTTTCACACTTTTTCCAGCCTGGCCCATTACTTAGGTTTTTCAGCAAGAGATTCGGCAATCAAAGGAATTTCTCATGCTAGGATTTTACAGAATCTGAACAGGGCAGCATTCATATCAGCTTAAAAAAACGAAACCTTCTTGTGTGATAGTGCCTTTATTAAAAAAAACACTTTTTCACGCGTGTGCCATCTTAACCATCCTAACCACCACACACCCATATTACCAAAGTATCATAATAAATTAACCCACAGTAAGGTAGACATTCAAGAGGAGCAACTCGAGATTAAGCTGCCTGCTGTTATCACTGCCATTTTTCACGAAACAGGAAGAAGCAGCATCATCTGATAATGTTTCTTATCACTCTGGCCTTTTATTCAGACTTTGCTTTCTTTGTTACAATAGTGTTGCAATGCTCAGTATGCTTTAAGGACATCTACAGCCCGATCAACAAGGACTACGCATGAAACACTACTGTACGGTAATGCAGTGATCCATTAACCCTGCCCATCTGGAAAACAAGATATGACAGGGATAGAGTTACTTAAAGACATACTAGTGGCCCAGCAGGTTTTAAGAGCACAACCCCACAACAAACAATGACCTACATCCACACACAGAAAAATATGGATGCCGCAGCAATCATTTAAGAGGCAGGCAACTGTGCACAGCATGACAGACTCTATTCTCCATCTCAGTGTTAAGCACTTGTTAGCGGAAGAGGGACTTTTATGTGGCTCCTTGTGGCTGCAGTGTAATAAAAATGATCATCAGAGGCTCAGTCAGGGGCAGCGACAGCTTCTTTTCTGTAGGAGGGCTGAGGTGGGCCAGATCTAAAATTGAGGGGTTTGTGCGACATCTCCTGGCCAAACTCTTTTTCTTCACAAAAACAGAATAAAAATCCAAACTCTAGGCACAGAGGTCAGCTTTTACCCCGTCTCCAAGTCAGCTTGCTAGTCGAACGCCAAAAATAGTTAATTTTCTGGTGAGATGGCGGCACTTTCGGGGATTTGAAAGCAGATAGACAACACCTATAGAGTATATAGCATTTTGTAAAAAACATCGACATCCAGTTCTCTCTTATGAAGCAAGACATACAGTAGCATGTGCTGAAGACTTATACAGAACTTCAAACACTCAATGCAAAAATGTGTAGGGCATGTACTGAGAATAATAATGAAAAAAAAACTTTCAGATTTAAAAAAACACATGCTAAAAGATTTATTTGGCTTAGCGGGCAACATCAAAGGAAATCACACAGCAGCCAAAGGAACTAACAGAGCTCTGAAGAGCACGTTTACCCAGAGTTGCTAAATATACCAAATAAAAAAAACAAACTTGTTAAATAATGAATGCCCCTACAGTGGATAAGTGACCCTTATTCATGACCCTTCTCTTTTATCCTACATCACTTTCTCATATTACTCGACTCATCAACACAAAACCGTGTTATTCCCTTGCAGATGAGGCGTTTGGGTTCACAGCTGCAATGACGTCATGGAAACAGCCTCAGTGACATCATGGTATTTCAGCCATCTTTTGAACAACTTTTTCAGTGGACTGATATTTACCATATTTACCAACAAGTAGGGCTGGGCGATATGGCCAAAAACATTATCACGATAAAAATTTTCATATCAGTCGATATCGATAGTTATCATGATAAATGTCAAATCATTATTTGTTCCAAGTTTAAAGGCAGATTTTTTCTCCTGAATGAAAGTTGAAGAAACCAGACAGTTAATTGGGAAATTAAACAACTCTATTTTAAGAACACAACAGTTGCCAAACAGCAGAAACATTAAACAAATCTGTCAGCTGCCCGGTCTGCAATAGGCATGCGCACTGGCGCAGTATTTTGTGCGCATGCGCATATCATGCGCAAAGCATAAACATATATATCGAACATTTATCGAACTTTTGTTAAAATTATATCGAGGAAAATTATATCGTGATAATTATCGTTATCAAATTATCACCCAGCTCTACCAACAAGCTGTAAATACACCACAGGGGCAATACGATCTCTGGAAATTTAAAATTGGACCTTGAAAATTGAACTGGTCTTTCAATGCATTTGCTTTGTCATATCCAAGTCTCTCACTGTGTGCAATGGATGAGGGAAAGAGCAAAGCAAAGTCAGCCTCTTCTGCCTTCTATTGAAATAAAAATGAAGGCCCTCTTTTCCAATCAGATAGCATGTTGCTAACAATGCATACCACAGTCTCATACAGTTCTTGACTAAAAAGCCTAATGTAAGAAACCAATACAATACTACATCAGTCCAAATGTTCTGATGATAGGTAGATACAGGCACTCTATAAAACCACAAAGTGTCTGTAACCACGGTTCAAGGTAGATCTGAAGACATTAGCAGCCAACCAAGTTCGTTGGGCCAAATGAGATCCTCCTGTATGTAGCCATTTGTATGTTCTTATGCAATTTAACATAGGCAGTAAGTGGCAGAAACCCACACTAGTATACCATCACGACTACTCTGATAACAGTGCAATGACATTTTTCCATAGCTCAGAAGTCTCTGTTATGTTTGGAAGTTAATTATTTTTTGTAATTTTTACTAAATATAGACGTTAATAAAAATTCCCTTAACATCTTTTGGTCCAGGTTTTAGCCAAGAAAAACCTTTATGAATGCCAAAATAACAGAACATGAAAATTACATTAGGAAATGCTGACCGTCTTTGCTTTACTATATATCATGCACCACCCTGCCGCAGCTACTTCAGTTCCGAAACCTTTGGTAAAGTCATTACAGCCTAGCTCATTAACTGAGAGACAAAAACTGAATTTGTAAATCTGTTCCTCGACAGTTAACAGGCAGTTTCTTAACTGACAGACTGCATTACTTCACACTTCCTACAACTTACGGAAGAGCACTTCTCCAGATTTCACAACTCCTTCAACTGTTCAGGAGGGGTCTCATTCACTTGCTCTACACAGCAGGTTATGACAAAAATGACAAAACGAGCTCTTACAGCAGGTGTTCTTTATCTTTGTCCTGGGGGGCCAGTGTATCTGCAAGTTGTCCAAGTCTCAAAGCACCAGCAACTTAAGAGCTGCAAGATGCTGCTAAGATAGACTAATTAAGCTAATAATGAGCGGATTCTGGTCATTAAGAGCCCATTTAGTCTAAAAACCTGGAGAGACCCAAGAAATCCCTGAGCAGTACTGGGAACATTCACTCTAAATGTTAAAAACAGAAACATCCATGTCCTACATCAGAAAAAAAGATGTTCTGTCTCTTCTTACTTCAGTTATCAACCAGCACCTCAGTATGATTAGAGCACATTTGTCTGATCATGTCTAAGGAAGGTAAAACATATTAAGCAGCTGGATCAAATTCATTCACTTGTAAAGTGGAGGACATATCTAACATTTTGTCAATTTAGCTTTTGACTTGCAGACAAACACAACTGGACTCAACACAGGCTAACTAAAGCCCCTGTTACAACTTTATTGCTTGCCTTATCCTGGTGTTTCTAAGTAAAACCGCTTCTCCTTTCACTAGGGAAATCAAAGGACTCTTCTGACTCAATAATAATGGGTAAGTTCTGTCATTTTTCAGTGCCATGCAACACACAAGAAAGGAGGCATTCACAGACAAAGATATTCACCACAGTATAAGAAACAGAGCTAAGTAGCACTCATTTCCAAGAGTCTGTGGTAACATACTGTAACATATGGCCAGCTGAATCCACACAACAGGTTTACACTTTGTTCAATCAAATATATTTTGAAGAAGAGTGTAAAAATAAACTTGTCCCCAGACAAGTAGCAACAGGCCTGGTGGATGTGACAGGTATGAACAAGTAGCACTTGTGTCCAGACAAGAAGAAACATGTCGACTTGCCTCCGAGGCAAGCATCAGTGTGGAGATTTACTACAGGGGCAGGTTACAACATGAAAACCGGGTGCTCGGGCAGGTTGCAGCATTCCAGCGAACTCCGCGGGCTGAAAGCTTTTCCCCATTTATATTCCAAGGCAGGCAGCAACGTGAAGAGACAAATCTCCTGCAGGCTCAGACATACCGGGAGCTCCAACAGAGCGAGAGATACAATGCTGCACAGAGACTGCTGCAGCTGCTGCCTGAGCAACTCTGAACGTAGGACTGGAACATCAAAAAAGCACTGGAAGCATAAAAATACACTGGAACATCAATATTTTGGAAGAGCGTATTTGAATACCCCCAGGCAAAATTGATTTTCCAAGAATGTTAGAGTGATTTTTACCAAAACACTGAATACCCCAACACAAATGAACAAGTTTTCTTAAAATACTGTATATTTTCTAAGAACACTGCTCGGCTACTTTTCAATGCCTGTATATAAGACTTACCTGGTGGTCTTCCTGACTTCCTGTCTATTAACTTTACAAATCACAAAGAAGCCAAAAAATATTACCTGAGAGGCTGTGGCAATCTATATTTAATCAAGAAAACCTCCAAAACCAAGGCACAGATTTTGCTTAACTAATCAAACAGCTATATATCCGACTGCCTCAATTGTTGTTTAAGGGTCACATGCTGTTCACCTTGCTAAAAGGCTAAGACATTGATCTTTACCTCTGGCCACGATGAGACACCATGTTTTCTGGTTTTCATTCCACTGGACTGATAATGACAGGTTGTAAGTATTTATTGGTAAAGTCACTTATAAAATATGCTGGACTGTCCCTCCAGGATCAGATCTGAACATCACTCAATCAAAAGTGTATAAGCCATGAACAGGAGAGCACCAATGTCTCTCATTTCAGCTGGGGGCAGACCTGAGGGTTTTTTGCTTGGGTCTCCAAAGGAAGACAGGATCGTTGCTCTATTTGGTCAGAAAAGGAACAAATCAGTCATTGAACCAGAGTTCGATGACACAGAGCCGATGAAGGTGAAACTGGCCTGCAGGTGTAGCGATGACTGCATGGGTGAGAGGTCACACTAGTCTTCTAACTGCAGATTACAGAGGCTCAGAGAAACAGATAGGAACTCCATAGCGATTAATCCCATTTTCTGTTTTACAAGCTGCAGAATCTGTATGTGAGCTACCATCTGCTTGAACACATTCACACAGAAAGATGCAATAGGTTTCAAATAATATTAAGGGTGCTCCTTGGTGTGCGAAATCTGAGGCGTGTTGCTACCCAGAGGCGATTTCCCACAGGACACCACACAATTGGCTGAGACCATGTCAGAATGACAGCCAGGGTCTCCTAGCGGAGCAGTTTGTGGTGTACTCAGCGCCTCTGTCCTCCAGCAGCTCTCCAGGCTCACAGTGAGACAAGAGCTGGATGGCTTAGAGGGGAACTGCAATCCCGATTTCTCAGACCAGTTATTAAATCTGGGCAACAAAATAAATCAATTGACAGCCTCGCAAAATTTGACAAATTCCGAATTCATTACAAAAGAATGAACTTTGTGAAAGCGCTCCATATTCACCATGGTGACACTCTGTATTCACCATTCATTGAGAGTTTGGGAGAATTGCAAGAGAGGACAAGTGGCTCACTAGTCCCCTCAGAGACGAATGTAATGTGATGCACAAGCAAATAAGTACAAGTTGTGCAGCAGATATTTCACTACAGAAAGTTTCCAACGTGACCTAAATGCAGATCTAAATGGAATAAAGCTCAATTTATTGGCAAAACCATCTCAAAGTCGAGAGCAATATTTCTATGGGATTAAAAGAGGTGTATTCATAAGCCTGCTTGTTTACCATGTAATAAGGCTGCTAGTTCTGAATCGCAGGATACGGCGCTGTGTAAACATGGAAATTAAGTCTATTTTCTGATGTAATTTGGAGGTATAAGCCTGAAATATAAAAACGGCATTGTAGTTCCCCTTTAATTTGCACAGACCTTCAGTAACAAATCAAGTAGATTCTAAATTTAAAGAAAAAAAAAACTATTTTAAGAATCCGTACAAGAGCCTGCAACCTGAACTAGACCAAACTGCCCTCCACTGAGGTCTTGCCAGATGCCAACACTTGCTATTTGTTGTTTCCAGGTATTGAATTAATATAATGAAATGAATGCTCTCCTTTGAAAACTCCGCTCTGAGCCAACACCCACACTGTTACTCGAGTTTTGCGTCTGACCAGGAAACAGCAGATCTTATTTTGTATGTGAAAGTATTTCAGATTTTTGTGTAGGATATAAAATGTTAATCCTCAAACTACCCCAGCCTTGAACACTTTTAATCAATTCACCAGGGAGAGATGCGTCTTTGCAGACTTGTAATATTCTTCCACCGGCAGAAGGAGAAGATGAGGGTTATACTGAATTAAACACTTGCTATTTTGTTTTGCAAAAGACTTGAACCATTCCTGAAGTGCTACTTGCTCCCTGTTAACAAGACTGCAAATTCTTAAGCTCTACAGATGCCCTTAACAATTAGGTTCATACCAGCATTTTAACATTTAAATAAAAAACAACAGCAGCAATCCCCCCTGCCCGGCCAAGCAACTGAACAAAGATTTTAAATGTGAAAAAACATTTTGGGTCATGGAGAAAAGCACACAGTAAGAACAGATTCATCAGGTGCCGATAAATTATGAATAATTATTTCCTCGTGATTGAGAACACATTCAGTGTTGTATGGAAATTAGTCTCTTCAGCCACTACACTGCATCTGTAATTAACAATTAGCATCCTCTCCAGAATGACTTCGGAAGGCAACTCTGAACAAATATCTTGCTTAAAGTGCACTGATTTTACCTGGAATAAGATCAGTTCATGCCTATCATTTCAAAGGCTGTGCTTTGAAACACCCATTTTTGCATAGTTCATAGGTGTCAGTTATAGGATGGATGATTGAGGACTAAAAACATTACATTACAATATTACATTATTAATTGATAACATCTTAAGAATCCACAGCACCTACTTATCTTAGGCAGGATGCATTTTCCTCTGAACAATCCTGTTTTACTATTTAAACCTGACTGTAGCAGCCTCTCCTGAACCCTTTCATATTAAAATTAGTTACAGTTTAACATAAACCTCCTTCAAACTCTTTAACTCCCATTAAACAATTCTACATACAGTATAGCTGTAGATTAAATCAAGCGATGTTATGTAAATTAACAGCTTGATAAACATGTCATATACCTTTTAATTAGGCAGACACTGCTGTCTCCCTTTCTAGCAAAAGGAACACCAGTGCTTGTGGTGTTACTGTACATCTGCAAACCTGTGCTGTAAATGTTCAATTTCAGATTTCAGTACTGTAACTGAATTTGGTTTCTGTGAAAGACAAAGCATGCTCCTTATAAGTATCCATCTATCATATACCAGACCATACAAAATCTGCTCTCAAAATATTCACTGGTTTGCAAATACTCACTTTTTTAGCCTACCCACAACAGATTATATTCTGCTTGGCTGACAATGAATGGAAATTATTCAGAACTCACAATAAAAAACATTTAGGTGGCACACTGCCAGTCAAACATAAAAGGCCTTGAGATATGCTCTTTTTGCCTCCTGTCACTAGAAATAAGCACAATGAAGAGCACATTAACTCAAATTTTTAGCCACGAGTCTCTGAATCGGCAGTCATGTGCACCGCTGCAGTATTCTGATCTGAACTGAATTCCTCTGGGAGTGTGTAAGGTCCATGACACTAACAAAGCTCGACTAAACAGGCTGTGAAAAAAGTTCAAAAGCTTCCATGTCCTATAGATCAGAGAATGGTGATAGTATCTATAGTGCTCAGAGATGGAATAAGTTTCAACAGGAGCATGACAAGAGCTGTATTGCCTGCTTTTTCCCCCATGTTTCCTATACAGTAAACCCTTGTTTTAATGGATTCATAGGGGGAAAAGGGTGTCCATTATTGCCGTAAGCCTGTTAAATCACAAATGACATTTCTTCAGCCCAAAAACACACTATATATAAGCTCTTAACGTGTAAAAAAAAGTACCATATAAACTTTGCTAAAGCATACCAAACAAATACCACCCATCATATGAAATTCTTCTAACCTATTAGGGCACTGTTGATATTCCTTAATTTTACACATATTTAGTATTTACTTTTACCTTGATTTATTATTTGTGCATTTCCCTGATTTTGCATGGAAGTCCGGTATTTCTGATTTTACAGACCGAATTCCCCCTTTAGCAGATTTTGTCCATTAAATCCAAATTCCTTTAAACTAAGGGTTTACTGTTTTCTACTGGCAGCATTCAATGCCTCTGATAGCTCACCTTCCACGCTTATTAATTATTCCAACCAATTATGTGAGGTCTGCTCAGATTTTTTTTATTTTTTTTTTAAATAAGCAAATTGAGATTTCTCAATCCTCCAGTACTAAAGTGTTTCTTTGAAAATGGGGCTGTGGTTCAGTTAGTCATTCAGTCATGAAGCACGTACTGTTAATATTTGTTCTTGGTTTTTTCATTCTTATGTGGTGAAAAAATATAGCACTTTTAAAATTAAAATACCACAATTACGTGGTACAGATACGTGCTACAGATTCGTGCAGTTACTTGCCAGAAACTGTAAAAAGTGTCAAAGAATAGGTCACTTTTTTGAGAACATACTGCACCTCTGGGTTAACAGCACACTACTTCTTTATTGCATCGCTTCACTATAAATGTGACGAAAAAAAGAAAAATCAATCAAATCAAACTTTCAAGAATAATAAGGACCATCACAAAATGGTGTGAAATATATCAGGAACACATCATATATATCAGGAATATATCTGTAAACAGTTATTATGTGATAGAAATTAATTGTTCAAGTCTCTCAAGTTGTGATTTTGTGAACATTGCTTCAACATCAAGGTTGGGTAGCTAAACTTTTACAGGGAACGGAGGCACCACTGGAGTTATTACAAAACGAAAGTGTTAGTCATTCTAACAGACTAGATTTTGAACCTGTCCACCATTATCTTAAATATCTAACTTTTCCCAAGGCCCATACCTAAACACAGGCACTTCGCACTGAACCACATACCGGTTTAAAAGCTCGGTTCCAGCGGAGAAGAGAGGCAGCTGATCCACAGTCCTGCAGGAACAGAAGAAGACGGATTAGACTGAAAACCACTAAGCTGGAGAAAAGATAAATAAAAATGAAATCTGCCCGAGTCTCCCTTTCTCAAAACATGAATGACAAGAATACAGCAGCCTCTTATAAAAGAAGAACCAAGTTCGTACCAAGACGAGCATTTTTATCATTTGCTCTCAAAATACAGGGCTCATGCACTCGCTCTCATGTTTAATGTATTAAGAGGCTACAGTATGTGCACCTATGGATTTGTCTAAATTTCTTCCTCTGTAATACCTTTATACAAATTATTTCATTCATTCAATTAATGTTATACATATGGTCAAAAAGAATTGTAGTTAGATTGGATTGTAACAAAACATATTACACTAATGGAGGACAGCATTTGGGTACCACACTTTTCCCTTCCAAGATGCTTACAAAGTACAACTGTCCTGCAGAAATCTGCTACATAATGATGCAGCAATACAATACAGTACAATACTAAAAAATGGACAAATGGGCTTTGCAGTATCCATTCCATTGTTCTATTATGGGAGTCAGCATGAATATAACAAGCTCAGAAATATAAATCACATAACACCCAGGGAAAAGAGCTCAGAAGCAGAACAAACTGTTTCTGAATCAAAGTGTGCTACTTCGCAGATCTTAATAGGTAAGCACTCTCCCACCCTAAGGGACTCAGGGTAATATTACAAAAATATAAAACTGCACTTGCAAGAACAACAGTACTTATCTACCACTGTATATTACTAAACAGACATTAAGAAAACAAGATGGCAACATCTTTTCTAGATGACCTTCTTTTCATCCTGCTTCAGTGATTTCCTGATAGCTACAGTGCGTCGTGCTCAGCCACTAACTTTCACACAGCAAACCCAACCAACTCCATTCATGGGGAGGAAAGCCAGAGCAAAAAAAAAATCCTAACATGACAGTAAAAAAGGGGGAACTAACTGCATGACCACCGTCCTTTTGGATCTGCGGCACAAGGGGGAGTGAGTGTATTTTGATGTCCCTGAACAGACAACCACCTCTTTACAAACACAGCAACCATAATTAACTGCAACTATGAGGCTACAGCCTACAACACGGTGCTTGTCCTGTTAAATGAAACTAATTATCACTTTCAAGAATCAGCCTACTGAACTTTCCCCAAACTGGTTAAGCTTTTGCATGTCAGGATAAAAAAAGAGTCGATTTTGGACTTGTAAGATGGCCTCCTCTTCACCTTATGGCTTCGACTCTTTAAAAGAGTGTAAGTTCACTTCAACAAATACACCAGGGGTTGTTTTAGATGGCCGCCTTTAATTGGCAACACACCTGCACAGAACACACCAAATATCACATTTATTACCTCTGTTTCTTCTTGATTTTTGCCTCCTTCGACTTGTCACTCAAAGTCTTGATCCTGAAACAGAGCAGAGCAAGAGGACACAGAAACAACAGGATTCATTCTCATGTGATTTAAATGCAGTTTATTCTTAAAAAGAAGGAACATATCTGAAGAGATGAGATATGCAAAATAAATAAATGAATATTCTGTAAAAGATGTTGTTTATCCACACACAGAATTACATCTACTGTTAATCATTAAGTTTGCATTGAACTTATTAACCCAGCCAGCAAAGACTTCATGCTTTGATTTCAATAGGGTAATTTATAATAACTGAAGAAATTCCATCAAATAATATTAACCAAACAAATTTCCTCTTCATTTATAACTCATTGTAAAACAGAAAACATTGTCTTTCCCCCCACCAGGCTTAAAACTGGATACTAAAAACATCATTTTACAGTAAGGAGAAGGTACAAGTTTCCAAAATGCAATTAAAATATATTGGGGGGAGGTTATTTTTGGATTTGTTTCAATAAGATTAATTGTCTTTACATAGCACTTTTTTATATCAAAGGATCACAACATAGACACGGTCACACACATTATTTTAGTGTAATTCTGTGAACCGGGGGGGTTGTGCTTTAACAGATTATCAGAGATGTTAAATTTAATCTTGCGACTCAACTATCAGAAAACTTTTGAAATGCGTTGTTACAGTCTATATAATACTTTGTACCGTATTCCATATACAACACCGTACAGTATCTCGGTAGCTCAGCGGGATCTGTGCTGCACGCTACGATTGTTAAATAGTATCATTCGTCAGAAACTTTTCAGATTTGACATTACAACACTTCCGGGCTCAAAAGCATCCGATGTCCTTGCAGTGTCGGGTCACGTGTAATTAGAAAACTGTGCAAAGCACTTTCACCCGCACATCACATGACAGCCAGATGCAAGTGATTTTAGAGATTGTGCAACAAATGCAAAACCATTCACTTGCCGTTTTCCGCAACAAATGTAAAAATTCCCTCATCTGTTTGAGTTATGACTTGTTTAGCAAACATCTCCAATAAATCTAATAAAATTAGCTCGAAACTAACTTTAGTATAACCGAAGTTTCTAACGTAGGAAGTTTCAGAACATACAGTACGTAACACGAGTGTTGTAGTTTAAGGTTATCGTTTCCCCATAAATAAAAACAGCAGTCAACCTCCTCTTTTTTTCCCTTGAAATATTTCCCCTTATACGTTTTTAGTAAGAAAATGAAATGCTACTGAGCATGGAAAAGAACGCACGTTTTGAAAGGTTATTTACGATTTTAAAATACTTTTGTTTCTTGTGCTGTCTTTCATTGCTTAAATGAAAGTCGAACATTTCATTCCTTTTAACAACGCTGACAGAGTAAAAAAAAGTACAGTACTTTGTAATACTCAACAATTGAAACACAAACCCTGTGGTGAAGTCTTGCTGCACGTTCTGCAACCTCTCTCTAAAATTCTCAAACATCTTCAATTTCTAAATTTTATTATTATACTGTCGGTAAGATTCCTGAAGTCATGTCAGTTTCGATGCTCTGTGACGCGGCTAAAGCTGTCTCAGATGTCCCGTCTCGGACTTCAAAATAAGTCCATATTGACAGACTGCAGCTTTACTAGTCCTTCCCCCTGATCGTCCTGCAGCACCATCCTGACCTCCCGCCGTCTACTTCCTGCTTCCTTCACGTGTCACCATCAACCAATGACGTCAGCGTGTTGTCACCGCTGTATTAGTGAGATATCGTGGTGCTATTTCTGTTTTCCCTGCTTGTTGTATATCAACGTTTATCTTTTATGTAAATAGAAATGTACATAATTGACATTTACTTGGAAGTATCCTAAGTGGAAGGGGACTCTAAAGCAATATCGTCGTAGTACCTTCTCCTTTAACAAATAATAGGAGCGAAGGCAAAAGTGTTTTTTAGGTCGTTCTATTTTGTGATACAGTATGCCTCCCAGTATGATTCTGCAAATTCCCACACAGAGAAATTCTCCTGTGTGATTTTGAGGCTGGTGGTGGACAGATGAGCTAATTAAGAATTGGCAGGATTCAGCCTATGGTGAAACAAGATAAAACAACAATTCAGTGCATTTCAAACCAGTTTTCAGTATTCCAAAAATGGTATGCCCACCGGAGTGAAACTTAGTTTCACTACTGTGTGTTTCTGTAACATTGTCTGAAAAAAAGAAAAACCGTGTTCAACAGTTTGTAACTGGTGTAACAAGCTTACAAAGCCTTTCCACATTCGTACTGAAAATATTAACTTTTTATATTCATTTGTGAAAAATGGACTGTCCTAAATCTCGTGTTGGGAGTTTTTATAGTCGGCTATTGCATATGTGATTGTTTTCCTAGATCTATGAAAAACATGTGACTAATGATTAATGAAAACATGTGACTCTTTAAAGCAACGTACAAAGCTTAATTTTTATTCAGTACAATCTAGATTGTTTATGTCAGCATTGTTCCATTGTCATTGCATAGTTGCTGAGTTTTTTACTGCAACAACGATTACATTAACTGAGCTACTGCCAAGCTGAATCTCCTGTCCCTGCATTATATCAGTTCATTACCACTGACAGAGAAACTGCTCCCTGTCATCAGATACATTAAGGGTTTTCAGTACCGACCGAGTGGTTTACAAACTATAGGCTCATGGCCTGTATTTTCAAAAGAAAAAAATGTTTCTTCCCAGAAAATGACAGTCCCAGCAATATCTGCCTTCCTGTAACATTTTCCATAAGAAAGAAGGTATAATTTAAGGAAATCAGTTGATCTATATAAACCCCCAAATGTATAGTAATTTAATAATCATTCTTATCACACAGTTAATTCTCTGCATCTGCACATTGTTGCCCTGTGTTGGCAATATTGGTCAAATTACTACTTGGTGTTTACTGTAAGACTCAGCAGTTACTGCAAAAAGTTGCTTGAAGAATAGAACTACACGAACATCCCATGAGTGTAGGTATTGTTATTGGTTTGCGTCTCTTCTCTTCAAAATCTACTTATCTGGGTCTCAAGATTAATTCTACATTAGGGTCTCTGGTATATTTCTGAAGGGGGGATATTTATTCTTGGATATCAGCAAAAGGCAGGGATCAGAAATGAAATGTCTGTCCTGTCATCTCTTTAACCATGTCAGATACAAGTGTATTTTTTTTTCTCAGACACATCATCAAAAACTCTTAACAACACTATCATGCTCAATACTTAAATATTGTAACGCTGGATACTTAAGCTTGTACGGTATTCTCATTTAAGGGTGCTTTAGAATTCCCAATGAATTATCAAGATTCAGTCACACACTGTCCAATCTTCAGTTTTTTTTTTTCTGGGAAGTTCAAATAGCAAATATTTTAGACAAGAACACTCATATCCACTCTGTTTGACCAGCTAGGGGCTGCTATGTTCTACAATGTGGGAGCAGGGTGAAAGTCTGAACCCTATGAATTTAAATACTAATCACAGAGCAGAGTAGCAAGAGCAGAGTTTTTACACAGGAGTCTGTTGACGCATAGTTATTGAAACAATAGAGCACCTGCACTGCAGAAATGGGCGTTTTATTCATTGTATAGCTTGGAACATTCACCAAGTGTCCATCCAATTTATAACATTAATGCTGGATTAGGTGCTACAAATATTAGCATTATTGTTATAGATTGTTTTCACAATTCTCCATGAATTAGCCCAAATAAGAAACAGCTCCACTACTCTCTTGAGCATTCTGCTTGCTGGGGTCTTATGACAGGTCAGGCAAACACTGTTATCAAACAGCAGCTTTAATGTTTTCCTATTATAAATTGGCAATGGTTTAGTTTCACCTGTCACAAGTAATCTGTGTCAATATTTAACACTCATGGCCATCTCCAGTCTCATGGTGGTGCCTTTTCCTTGCCTGCAGCTGCTTTTAGAACTATAACATTGGTTCAAAATACCTCCGTGTTGAGATCATTTTCATTTCAGCCAAATCTAAATTAAACATGGATCTTGTATACGAATTCTCTCTTGAGTGTGTCGGAGTGTGTCACGGCAGGATGGTTTCTGAAGCGGAAGCTTATGGAAAATCCAAGCTTCAGTAACAGGGCTGGTCAGTTACTTGGAAGGGAGACTTCCAAGGAAACCCAAGTTGCTTCTGTAAGTGGCATTGGTGGACCAGTAGGAGGTGCTCTTCCTTCCAGATCAGACTTTCTTATCAAGTGCTCCAATATAGTGACTATAGTGACAGGAACACTGTGCATGAAGGAGATGCTGCCCTTCAGATTAAATGTTAAATCCAATGATGGAAATAGTGAGTCCCCCTCCTATAAATTAAGTGTTTTGATAGGAAAGTACTATATAATGTTCAGTAATTACAGGCATTAGAAACATTACAAACTGAAGGATGTGGTGGTTGTTGCATTCTAGTAGACTTTGTGTCTGTCTGAAAGAATTTAAAGGACATCCAGCATGAAATCACAACAAATACATGAGATTAGGAAGCCTATCATTTCCGAGCAGTAATTCACTGAACCCTTCAACAGTGTGTAGTAAGTATGGTGAATAAAAGTTCAGCTTTAATAATGTTCTGCCACATGTATGATCCATTCAAACTGGTAGTTTCAAACCTCCTTTAATAATCTGTTGCCATATAAGGATGCCATAATCCTGTAAGAGAAAACCTTCCTCATACCTCGGTCTTTTTATTACGGGAATTTGCCTCAGTCTTCCCCTGCTTTATTCCAATAGTATAGCTCCCAGCTACGGAAAACATATTAAAATCAGTATTCTAGTCTCATTTCACCTAATTGAGACTGGAATGCTGATCCTAATATTGTTTACTTACTTGCCATTACAAAAATGTATCAGATGGTTAATTTAAAACTATTAATTATGTTCCATTAGTACAATTAGCTATTTAAGTGGCTTGCTGTTTGAGTCTTCATGTATTATTAAAATATTAATGGAATATTTTATTCCTCTACATTCTTAAATATATTGATTAGTTATCTCAGATTCATGCTAGGAAGCATGTAATGCAAAAGGATTACAAGTTTGAGAAGGTTATTTATTTCATCTGCTTTGCAAGTGGCTAATTGATCCTAAATTAGTCAGGATGAATTTCTGAGTGTCACAATCCACAACTAAAATGGCCAAGTTGTTCCCCCTCAGTGTAATGAAATTTCTTTTTTCAGTCATATCTACACTTCTAATTTCACTTTGGAATGTCATGGGCATATTTAGTGTTTTAGGATTCAGTTCTTCTGAGGATTCTGAAAACTTGAATTGAAACCCCTCAACAATCTCCTTGATTCTAGTCTAAAAGGATATATTTCCTCCAGTCTGTGCATAACATTCCTTTGAGACCACGCATTCAGGATTGGTCACAGACGAGCAGAGAAACACTTTTTTTAGGATGGAGGAATCAACAATTACAGATACATTGATTTAACTACCAAGCACATTTTACTACACACATTTATAAGAATCAGCAGAAAATAGTGTGGAATTATTATTGTGATCCCCTTGGTTATGTCTAAATCAGAGAGAGAGCAATCAGCTATTGTGTTGCAGAGGCATTAAGACAGCATGCAAGAGAAAGAGTTTGTGGTACATGCAGTATATTTTCATGGATCTGGAAATGCTGTGAATTTTAGCAAAGCCTTCACTTTCTCATTAGGACAGGCTGCAAATTTACATTCCATTAACTTTCTAATGTGACGTAGGTTATGTGCCAGATTTTCAATGCCAGAGCAGCTGCACATAATGGAATCCCTGGATGGAATGTCTGTATTCTGCTCCTCGTTGGTGTAGCCAACAAGATAGTCCCTATAAATATGTGTGAGCAATTCAAATCAACTAGTTATTGTCTTTCTGAGCCCTATTGTATGTATCCGATCCTTCATCTGCCTTGAAAACAAATCTCAAGAGGACTGTTGACAGTTGCAAAGAACTTGTAAAACCTGCTCTTTCCTTAAGATCTCATGTACAGTTATTGCATATTCCTAGCGCTCTCTTGCATCCTCATTATTTAATTTTCTGATCATTTCAACTACTGCGTAAAATAGCTTATTCTTGGTTTTGGAAAGGCGGGAGACTAATTTGTTTCACACAGAGCTTGTGCTCATGAATGAGGGACGTTGTCTAGTGGAGATGCTCTGTGGCGTTGCCTCTCTCTCTGTGTTACGTTCTGGTTTCCTGTTAGAAGGAGGACGTCACTCACAGCTTTGACATTTTCTTCTTTAACGTCCTTATCTTCATTAATTATTTTTGCGCCAAATGCGTCTCTGCGTTCTGATTGGGAATCCTCTCTTTCATTTTGTTTTATTCCATTTTGAAAATTCAACATGTGGGAGCTGGTTCTGATGGAGCAAGTAAAGGATAAGACTGCATATAATAATAACAATAATAATAATAATAATAATAATAATAATAATAATAATAATAATAATAATAATAATAATAACTACCAATGTACAGCCTTCACCTGGATGATGCAGCAACAGCCAAAGTGTGCCACTACACTCACCACACATCAGCTATTGCTGGCAACGAAAAAGTAATGGAGCCAATTCATAGATGGGAAGTATTAAGAGGCCATTATTAGTAAAGGCCAGGGGAAAATTTGGCCAGGACACCGAGGTTAAAACCCCTTATCTTTTGGGTAAACGTCCTGGGATTTCAAATGA